GGCCGGAACCAGCCTGTTTGAAATGAATAAAACTATTGAAAAAAAAGACCGTACCCTTTTATGTAATGATGTTTATTTTGAATTTACTTTAGTTCACACAAACAGTCCATCCATGCTTTTGTTCCGGCCCTCCGGTCCACTTTAAGAACCCATTGTGGCCCTCGAGTCAAAAAGTTTGCCCACCCCTGATCTAATCCATGCTTGTGGATGAAGAATCCTGAGGTTAATTAGGGTGGAGCAGATAAAGTAATATTTTGTGGGGGGTTTTTTTTTTGGCACATGATTCCTAAGCCCGATTCTATCACTGACTTTTTAAGTAGTCCCTCATCCTTGCTTATTCCCCCACCCCACCCCACTGAAAACAATATGTACTGGAAAGGGCTCCCCAGGCAGGCAGACTGCAGTCTAAATCTTAGCTCTGCCAAGATTAAACTGGGGCCACGGACACGTTGGTTGGGGACTTTGAAACAGAAGTTTTGGAAGGCAGCAGACTGTAAAGCTGTCCAACCCAAAAGCCCAACCCACTCCACAGCCACTGTGTTTCCCCCGGCGAAGGCTGAGAAAGTGAATTAGTAGCCCCGTGTCACACAAGAACAAACCTCTCCCTGGACCCGCTCAGGCCAGGCCAGAACATGGACATGGAAAACGCCATTTATTGACTCTAAGTCTAGTAAGAGAACTCTGCACGAGTGTCTGAAGAGGACTTTGACCTTGTTCTTGCTGCTGTGCTCACTGAGGTCAGCTTGCTTCTGTTTCTGTAGCCTCTGTCTCTGTTTTCTGAGCTGCTAAGAGGATTTCACGCGCCCGTTTCCGCCGAAGCCTCTCAGCATTTGTGATTACCATGGGATGCAGAGGGAAAAAACCAGCAAGGCCTAAAAACAACAGGGTTTGCATTCATTACCACACAGGACAAGCCCATGCTTCCCTGGCAATGCAGCCTCACAGGATCCCAGTCTAACAGCGACCTGACCTAGAGCGTGGATTTCAAACATGCTCCTCACTTCTTCCACCTGCTCCTGACTGCAAGGAGGCAATCGGTGTTATCTCCTTCCTAACACTATTGTCCTCACCTGAGAAAGAGGAGCTGACAGCCCTTCAAAACACAGTTCCCACTTTTAGAACAAAATCTCAGCCTCATAAAGGAGTCCCACGGAAGTCACCAGATTCAAAATGGCAATGCGGTCACAAGCCCCTTCACCTCTCACTCGAGCCCCGAGCCGCCCAAGGGTAATGGGAATCATTCTGAGTTCTCATCCCCCTGTAATCGACTCCAGTGGAAAATCTCCCGGCTGGGCTGGAGCCACGTTACCCAGAAGCTTCTCCACGGGCTGGGAGAGGTGGGCGCCGCAGCCGAGCCAATGCCGGATCCGCTCCAGGTTGAGCGCCACGAGCTTCTCTCCATGGGTGTTGGGCAGCGGGTCGTAGGAGCCCAGCTGCTCCACGAAGCGGCCATCCCTGGGGAACTTGTTGTGAGCAGCCACGATGCGGTAGAACGGCCGGTTGGTACAGCCGCCCAGGGCGAGGCGGATGGTCAGGCGGCCTCCATGGTAGGCCTTGTGGAGGAGGGCAGCTGTGGAGAAGCAAGTGGTCAAGGCACAAAATGGGCAAAACCAGGTACAGGAGACAATCCTCTTCCCCCAGTGAAAGCCCTTCCTTCTACTCAACTCGGGGCCGCCTGGCTTAGAAAACACCTTCTTTGTGAAACCTTCCCATGCACTCCGGCCAGAGACAACGTCCTCCCCCACCCGACCCCCGCCCGCCCAGCGCGGGCCTGCCTGCCTCCCACTGGCTCCGCGGCTGCCTCATCTATGTACACTGGGGCCTTGACTTACGAGTTTAATTCGTTCGGAGACCGAACTCGTTAACTCAAATTACTCTGTCAACTCAATGCAAAAAACCGGCCGAGAGACAGCTGGTATCTCAAAGAACTCGTTAGTCGGGACACTCCTAAGTCAAGGCCCCACTGTATAAGATGCTACCATGTCACAAAATGGGGCGGGGTGGGGGTGGGGGTGGTGCCCAACGTAAGGCCCTGAGGCTATTCCCGGCTCGGATGGCCTCCAGCTCGCCCA